CTGGGCCCAGATATTTTGCGGAATACCTTCGTTGGGTGCGCCTGCATGCAGTCTGCAGTCTGCAGTCTGCAAATGTCATACACCGCAAAAGCGGGTCTCACAACCGAAATCTCACATTGGTAAGCCTTTTACAATGAGGGAATGAAGGTGTAAAACAAATGAAAGATGTCAAGGAAAATCCAATGTGTAAACGAATGTTGTTTGGAACATGTGCTTCGAAACATATGCCTGGTTACTAAGGACAGACGAAAGCAACGCTGATGTAGTTCGTTTTGATTGAAAGCCTGTTGAAAGGTATGTGATCATTTCAAGCATTATGCGACGAAGTGATAGCAGCGAAAACCCAAACAACAAATATAAATATTGTATGTTTCCCTAGAGTCAAAAGAGAAGGTCATTTTTTTTCAAAATTGTTAAGTTTCAAGTGCAGTAGCTAAAAGTATGGTCTCGGCTTATAGCTGGGTGTTTTGCATTTATCTTTCGTTCTTGGTGATGCTGATTCTACAAGTTTAAAGTTCAGCTAGGGTCTCGACTTATCGCCAAGATCGGCTTATGGCCGAATAAATACGGTAGCTTAAATTTTTTTAAATTTATAAATTTTCTTCCCTATTGCCTTATTTCCCTTTCAACTTCTTGTCGTTCCCCTGAAGTCCTTCGCGAGGTCCTTTGATTCACGTAATTTTATATTTCTAGAAGAGTGGTTTCCAGAATCTTGCATTTGGCAAGTATATTTTTCACAATGAGCTCCTACCCTGGAATACCCTGCTAGCAGAGCTGCTCCTCTTACCCACTTGCTTGGCAGTGATATAAATAAGCTAGTACTAGTTACAGTCGAACCTCTCGGTACGGACACCTCTCTAATATGGACACCTCTCTATTACAGACAGTAATTAGTGACTGAATGTAAGCAAAACTATTATAATTCAAGTAGTTTAGGGTGCAAAACGTTACAAAAACAAACAAACAAACAAACATTACAAAGAAAAAGACCATGACATTGAATCTCTGCAGTGCATTTCAGTAAATTTTTCTTTAACACTAGGGATTGCTTGATCGACTTTGTCAGAATAGATTGGGTTCAGCATAAAAACTGACAAATTATTTCCTTATGCTCATATTTTTGATTCAAGCAAAATGCTGGTGGTATTGTAAAAGTTGCATGGTCACTAATGGAATTAGGTTAATTAGCTGAACAAAACAAACTCTTTGATAATTTGCAGTATTGGTGGTGAGTTTCCTCCTAAACCTCAACATAACATACCCTGTGTATGCGCTCCTGGTAATGGCCTTGAAGGAAACAGCCCCACCAATCACACATGCACTCCATGTGCAATTGGAGAGTATGGATCAGGGGGGGAAATCATCAATAATTGGAGGGATTGGACTGGAAATGGCACAGTACCTCCTGAAGGATCAGGTCTTATTACATATTGTGACACTTCAAGCAATTATTATTTCAAAAAATGTGGGGCATGGAAAGCAAGTGGTAAGCAAGGATAATATTAATTTTAAAAATTGATGCAATATGTTAAGAATGAGGGCGAGTGCTTCTTCATAGGGTTCCACAAACACCGAGAAACAGATGAAACCCCAAGGTCATAGGTTAATATGCTTTCATCTCTCTCGAGCTGTTTGGAACCCATTATAAAGTGCAAAGCCCGAGTTTTTGACATGTCTTATTTAATGAAACAATAAGAAATTACGCAGTGACATGTTTTTTTCTGGTATGTAATTGCATTGTTTCCATATAAACATCTCATTAAAATGCAAGTGTTTGATCTCCGGTAATAAACGTGTTTCATCTGTTAGGCTGAGCGATGCCACACCATAGTTTTCACACAAGATAACGTACCACTCAAGTAGAAGTAACAGCACTGATTTTATTTGTCTTGGTAAATCATATTTATAAACATTATTAATATTAAGGCGTTTCTTAAGTGGAGATCTACGTAGCAAACCAAAAGAACATTTTTGGCACATAATACTCAAGCGATAATGAAAGTGGCGGATTACACCACAGTTTATACTAAGACTATTAAACATAATGGTGATGCGATAATTGTGATATCAGAGCAGGTATTCTAACACATCTCAGATGAAAACCTGGTGGTGACGTTTTACGTGATGTTTCATTAGGTATCAAGGTTCATCCATTGTACCCAAATGGACGTCATCTATTGGCTTTTGACTGCAAGAATTATTCATGAGTTTGATAGCCAGCAGTGCAGGCGTTTTCTTTGAGCACCCGAGAATTTGCTCGCGAAACTTCCCGAAGAGAGGAGGAGATGGGGCAAGTCAAAGGGAGCGGGGAGGGGGCGGGAAGAGAGAAGAGATTTTTTTTTTCTCCCCTCCCCCTCCCCCCTTTCCTTCTTTCGCCCTCGCACCTACCGTAAGGGTTACTATTTCTACTCTCCCCAATCTTCCACTATCATGAAATCAAAGATGGCGGCTACCACAATATTTTGAACACGAACAAGGTTTCGCTCAACCAAAATACGCCTGCACAGCTGCAGGCTATGAGTTTGAGAGCTTGCTAGTTTCCTGTCTGATCTATGGCCCTCCCAATCTCAATAAAAAATAATAACAATTATTGAACGAGGTTGAACAAAAATATTGTGATTTGTCAGTGGTGAGCAGATCAATATTTGCCAAAGCTGAATGCTAAGTCAAATAATATTGATCTGCAAGTTCGCAAAGTTTGTTTTTTAAAGAATATCTTTGGGAAGCGAAGCAATCTGCCATTTTCATGCAAGAGCGATTGCAAGAAGGACAAAAGCTTGGTTTCATTTGTGCATGAGCAGAATATTATTTGCAGCCAAAAAAAGATGGACAACATTGTGCACTTTAAGCAGACCATTATTTGTAGGCAGTTATTTGCAGGTCACGTGGTGAGGTCTCGGCCAATGAAAAGGAAGAAAAATTTGCAATGAATGATAATTATTTTTATTTTCAATTCAGACCTTTCATCGACCCTTTAACTCTTTAAGTTCTGATATCAATGTGTATATTCTCCTCACTGCTCTGCAAATGTTTGTTATTAAGTACTGAGCACTTGCAATTGTCTAATGAGAGAATTTGTTAAGACATCAAGACATTTCATCATCAGTGATTGTATCAGTTGTGACATTCATTCTCATATTGACCTTTATGTTGGATCTGGTTGTAATATTGTTAAAGGAGAAAAAAAGTTTGATGGTTGGGTCTAGAGTGTGGCTAGAGCAAGTTTTTCTTAGCCTAGTGATGGAAAAGCTGAAAAAAAAAGTGTGTAGCAGTTAAACAAAATACAGTTGAATCGCGCTTTACGGACACTTCATTAACACCTATGTGTTGTAATAAACCTTTTCTTCTTGAAGGTAAATAATCTCTCAGGTGACAGCATGTTGATGTTCCCAGCACTGCAGTACACCAGATAGGATGAATTGTAGACGTCAATTTTAAGACTTTGGCATCCAATGAGTCAGTTATGCTTCTGTTGATTTAGTCCACAGAATTTTGGCTTTTTCAAGGATAGAGATGTTTACTTTGATGTTGCCAAGTTATGTCCTCTTATGTCTTAGGCATTTTGTGCTAATAAAAGTTGTTGTCTTATAACTTAACCCTTTAAGTCCCAGTGGTGACCAACATCAATTTTCTCCTAACCATATCCATAGATTGTCAAGAGATTAGGTTTTGAGAATTAATAAATTGATCACCTAAGAGAAATGCTTTGATCTTTTATCAAATTCTCTCAACTGATTCTTTAAGGAAATGTATAGAGATCAGTTTGGAGAATTCGTATGTGGATATTGGGGCTTAACATAATCTGCTTAATACAGACACTTTCTATGGACCCTTCAGTGTCCATACTAATGGGTTTTGACTGTAAAAATCTCTCAGGGAAGTATTTTATAAACACCAATAATTATTATTACTATAATATGCCTTTATTATTTTGTCTTTTACAATGCCTTTGTTTGTTTGTAAGCAATTCCATTTTTTATTGATTTACATAGCTGATAACTACACACTTGAATCTGGTGACAATCGTGGGTCGAGATGCCTGGTTTCTGTATTACTGATGACCAGGAAGTTTGTCTTGACTAACAACAATGTTAGTTTTGACTATCGTGTAGACAGCGGAGACTGCAGACCTGAATTATTTGGATGCGTTGGTCTAGGTTTCTTTATTGATGGTCAGCAAGTACTACAATACCAAGGAAACCAGTTTCACTGGGTTACAAAGACTTATCATTTAAAGAAGGTAAGTTTGAATCAAACTTTGCCTGCTGATAGCGTTATGCTTCATAAAACAGAGTTGTGACAGCTGGGCTCAAAATAATTGACATTGGCCATTCATGTTGATCAGCCCAACAAATTTTGGCCAGCTTGATCATTGTTTGTTTGTGACTAGTCAAAATGTAATAGAGAATACGTATTTCAAAGTTAAATAGTCAAGCAATTAAAGTAAAAAATATCCCCTTGTAAGCTCACAAATTTGAAAATAGGAAATCTACATTGTATGGGGCAACATATAACTCACAGGAGTGTTAATGAAAAAAAGGAATAAATTGTATTGAATATTTTTAGACGAACAAGAAAACATGCAATCTTGTTAATGCCACCCCTCAGTACCACAATAATGGTGTCCAAAAAACAAAACATACCACCCTCAGTACCACAGGCTACCCAAGAACCACTGAATGCCACCCTCTCATTTCCACAGAATGCTCAGGATTAGCATTTGTCCTTAGCATTAGCATGACTTAGTTTTGGTTTATGTGTCTATGAAAATGTGCTTGTGAAGGAGATCAATTAAAATATACCGTCTTGTGAAGCAAAATAGACCTGTCTGAACAGCAAACCTCATTTTGACAAACATCATCTGTAAGTTTGATATTTGTTTAGGTTAAAGCCAAGCTCTTCAAATGCTAAAATTCATACTTGTATTCTAGGGTTCCCATACACTGAAGTGGGTTTTTCTTAAGGAGAGGTGTTTTAGTCGTGGATATTCCTTCTTAGACAAGGCTTTTCTCCGTTCTATAACCTTGGTAAGTCACACATTTTGTAATGGTAATTAATAGAACTAAGTGGAGTTAAATTTTAGTCTGTTATAATCATCATCACTAGGGGCAGACACAGATCCAAACCAACTTTCATCACTTTTTAGAAAACTGTCAGATATATTTGACAAGGGGAAATGAAACTCTTGATAAGAAAATTTTTAGGAGATTTATTCCAGACCTGGTTGTGCTTGCAGATAGTAACGTTTAAATTAAAAAAAAAACAGTCCAATCGGTCATGGTTGAAATTTAGAATCCATGGCAATATTGGAGACAGAAATAATGGCAACTTTTTGGCTATTATAAGAGACTTTGGTGTTGGATTAATATTGGCAATGTGACTTCTGATAATTAACTACGAACAGTCAACTCCCTTTATTGCGGACACTGTATGGACCTTGAGTTAGTGTCCTGTCCGTATTATCGGTAGGCGAGAGTTGACTGTAATAAGTATTGATTTGCCAAATTCCACGCACCTCTGTTAATTTTCACCCAAGTGTGTCAACTATATCAAAGGTTCAAAAATAAAAGTAAGGATATTACATTACGTTTCTCCTTCATTAAAAAGTATTTGTTTAATTTATGTAATTACAAAGACTGTGTATTCTTTAGGTTGGCACAGATGAACCAAACGTGAAATGCAAACCTTGTCCACCAGGTTACTTTAGTAATCAAGAAGGTGCTTCAGAATGCACTGCGTGTTCATATTTTCAGTTTCAGGCGAAAGAAGGTTTGTGCATTATTTATCACATAATAGACCTTTGTCACAATGATGTACAGAAATTCCCCCTCTCAGCTATTCTTTCAATTCACAATCATCATGAGAGGTAGATGAGACTGATTAAGACTGATCTATAATTCCTTCGAGCTCCAGAGGTCAATATTATTATTTTTACTGCTAATTCATGACAGTTGATATACATTTGTCACTATGAGTAATGCATCAAACCAGAATTTGAGACTATATCCAAGTCGTTACAAAGCGCTTGGGTTCAAAGAATGAAGAATGGTGTAGAGGATCAGTGGATGTTAATTCCTTTATTTTATTTGAAAAAAATGTTGGAGGGCCATTTATTTTTGATTGTGATTATGATGTAAAATTTCTAGGCCTAAACAACTTACCAATATTTTACGCTGATGTTCTTAACACCTGGGCGAAGTCCGAGAGCAAACTTGGACAATGAAATCTGTGTTGAGAATGTAATCTTATGGAATAATAAGCATATTTTGATAGACGGTAAATCAGTATATTGGAAAGAATGGCATGAAGCCGGTATACTTAGAATTAAAGACCTACTAGATGAAAAAAACGGATTCCTCACACTTAATAAGTTTCTTTTAAAAACTGGCCTCAAGGCGCCTTTTACTAAGTTATTTGGTTTAATATCAGCTATACCTTATAGATGGAAGTGCGCTTTGAGACCGGGATTTATCATGAACAATCAAGATATGGAACAAAATACAACTAAGGAAATTAACGTGGTTACTAGCAAGAAGGTTCGCAATATACTTATTCAAAGGAAATTTGTAGAACCGTTGGCTAGCCTTCGACTATGCAGGCAAGGATTGGACAGTTCCAAACTTAGTTCCATTTATATGCTTCCATTTAAAATAACCAAAGAAACAAAATTAAGCATATATTTCAATATAAGATTGTTCATAATATTCTTCCACATGGGGTTCTTCTACACAGAATGAAAATCGTAAACTCTCCTCTCTGCATACATTGTGATTCCCTAGAAACGCTCTCCCATATGCTAGTTAACTGTATAGTAGTTCAAAAGTTTTGGTTTGAAGTAATTAGCTGGTGGAAAACTCACAGTGGTGAATGTTTGCTATTTGATGACTTAAGTATAATGTATGGCTATAATCCCGAAGATCCTAAAAGGCAAATCCTTAACTATTATATCCTTCTTGGCAAGAGACATATCTTCCTGCAAAGGAGCGAAATTAAACCCCCAAGCTTTGATCACTTTCTTGAATTCGTTAAAGACAAGTTAATTGTGCAAAGATCGATTTTTTATTCCAAAGGACAAAAAGCAAAATTTCTTTCACAATAGAAGCCTCTCCTCTCCTTACTGTAAATGATTATAATCTAATCTACGTATGCGTGAAGCAAGCCTGGTTGCAGTGTATGTTGTATTAATCGTTGGAATCTTAATTCTTAATTATAATTTTTTGTAACCTTAAATTTTGTACTGAAAGTGTTGTAAGTGATGTAGTGGTAATAAAGATCTCTGTTAATAAAAAAAAAAAAAAAATCAAAGCAAATGAAATTTGTCTTATCTGGTATATCTGCTGCATTGTGAGTTCCTAGACTGAACATAATTTCTCCCAATTTGTGGCAACCTATCCAAATTGAAAAAGAGCTGATTATTATCTTAAAATACCCTTTCTTTTGTTGCAATATTAAGAAAACTTGCATAGCTGTTGGCCATGTGAGTGAAACGCTCCATAGTTCCTTCAGTATATATAGTAGGTAATTGTCAATCAACCACTTTTACAACTGTCGCTGGTTTTTGTGGCGAGGATGCTCAATTATTTTGCCTTGTTATTAGATCTATTTTTGTTTGTTTGATTTTTTTTGAAGAAAGAACTTGTATCTGATAAGAGCTCATTTTTTGAATATGTGCATGTTTTCAGGTCAGACGAAATGCGACCCTTGTCCAACAAACACCTTTGCCATGATGGGTGCCTCAAAGTGTATCCTGTTACCTAAATGCACAAAGGATGACATCATTAGCGCCCCTGGAAACTTGAGTACATGTTCCTGTAACAACAATACTGGTGTGTGTACAACCACAGTACAAGAAAAGTTTGTCACCGTTACCTTAAAAGGTGAGTCAACTTACTGTAAATCCTCTATTTAAGCCCCCCCCCGGGGGGGGGGGGCTCATTTATTTCAAGCTCATATTAGGGGGGGGGGGGGGCTTTATAGAGACAGGGGCTTATTTAATTTAGAATTGATGATGGTACCAGTTGTCCATAAAGAACTAGAATACAAAGTGGATAAGCTTAAGAACAAGAAGTTTTAGGTTATGCAGCCGAGGATGAGAATTTAGAGTCGTGATTGATTTATACAGTCTTAGTAAAAAATAATTAGCGGAGGGATGGGGCTTAATAGAGAGGGGGCTCATTAACTTTCGCCCCTAAAAAAGTGCGGGGGCTTACTAGAGGGAGGGAGTTATTTGAGAGGGGGGGCTTAATAGAGGATTTAGGGTAATACACAAATTTTTTTTTTTTTAATTGTTGATACAGATGGCAGCCTGAGAAGCCACCTCTGGTTTTGTGGCAAAGTGATGTCTGAGAAATGAGTGCACAAATTCTACACTGATGATGCGTCACTACCCAGATCTGGGTAATGCTTTTGTTTGGTTGAAGCAAATTGTTTGGTTGAAGCAAAATGCGGAACGGCCCATTAGAAGCACTACGGAGATCTGGATAGTGATGTGTCATCAGTACATAATTTCTTGTGCATGTTTCTCATACATCAATTCATGGTCAAACCAGTGATGGCATCGCAGAATGTTGGCTGTTTTCTCAGGCTGGATGTGGCATGGGCAATTGATTAGAGCACTAGACTTGCAATCTGGAGACCACACTTTCAAGTCCTGCCCAGATTGCTAGCTGACATTGATCTCAATAGTTGCAAGTTCAAATCCTTTCTGCCCTACTTATAATTAGCTAACTGGTTTTCTGAAACAATATGATCTAAGTAACAATTCTTAGAGAAATTAAAAAATGCTTCATGCTCAGTCTCTTACTAATAAATTATTTCCTCTATCATAGTTTAGGATAGTTATGAAGCCTGACAGACTTCTTTGTTTTATGTTTTCGTTAGCTTTTTTAGATTTGACCATGCACAACGTTCAATAACATTCCTATCATTTTGAACTTACTGAGCAACAGAAACATCGCATTAATTTATTCAGTCACAGTTTGTGAACACGAAACAAAGGATTGTACATTGTCAGGGAGCTTCCAACATAAACTGCAGCACTGTTGTTTTCATCTTTGATGGTTGCTGGCTTTTATAACCAGTCTGCTTTACTAACTATGTCTTCGTGTGTTATTTTGAAATGATTGTTAGAACTGTTTCTGGGTGTTAAAGAGGGGGGGCAGAATGGGACACTAGAATACCGAGGGAGGGCCCTTGAAGCAAAAATGGGAACCCAACCAATAACCATGCTATATTGTGCTGACTGGATTTTTTAACCTGGTCATGGAGAAGCTTGGGTTTCTCGACCATGGAGGAAAAATTAATACTGATTTAACGGAAACCGCAACATACTGCATGCCATTTCCAGAGTACAGGAAGGGATAAATTACCCTTTGACCAATCCCTAATTAATATTATAAGCAGTCTGCCATTTTTCTGTATAAATGACTGCCACGAAGAGTGATGGTGCCATTACCACATTTGTCACCTCCTATGTGAATTGGGCAGGATCCTTTATCTGTTATCCTGCAAGCAAGCTCTCTGGGGGGCTTTGGTGGTGGGGCAAGAAAGGAGAACACCCCACCACCAGAACACCTCAGAGAGCTAGCTTGCTCGCACTGACGCTATTTATCCGTACAGTATGTGGTCCTTGGTCCGTGCAAGTCTGCGATGCCCTTGGTCCGCACCTTTTCCGAAAATGATAAAATATTTCGTCGAGAAAAAAAACGTTGAATAATGAAAGATATCGTGATTTACTGATTAGCATTCTTTCATGTGACGAAGTTCGGCTTTCTTGCTGCGGGTGAAGGCGCGAAATTAAAGGTTGTTGACAGGTAGGTTAATTTGTCTTTCTTGAAGTTTGGATTTTTGCGGCACCGTAAATTACATGAACATGTTTACTTAGCCTGCGAATAAATAAAACGCAATGGGAAGACGTGCCTTTTTGCAGAACAGGTTTTCAGATCAACTTTTTCTGCTGTTGGAAGCATATTGCTGTAGACTCTGAATTTTTGTTTTATCGACTCTTGAAGAATATCACCAAATTTCGCTTGGCGGTCCTTGGTCCGCGACCTATGACCTGGTTGAATAAAACTTCGCAAAATAAAAAAGCGAAGTCCTTTGTTTTCGAAGAATGTTTTGAAAATCGTCCCTATACATGTCTACAAGTTCTCTTTTTAATACCTCGAATACATACAGAGTTTTTGGTAATTATTTTCGACCGCGCTGAAAGCCGCTCGCGACGCTCGTGTGGGAGACTCGAGGAGACTGTTGTCTGAAGTCTTTGAAAGAAGAGCAGATTATTTTATACTCACAACATCTTCCGAAAAAACCTTTAACTTAATTGCATCAAGAAAAGAAAAAAAAATACATGAAATTTGTGAAAATGACATTTTCCTGTGGAAACTATAACATTTTTACGTTTTTTTTCGTGCTGCTTACATGAGACGCGGACCAAGGACCACCAAGGACCATCGAAAACGGTCGCCTTTTTTTTCGAACTCCAAGCAAAATATTTATGTCTGGAACTTGAAACTTCAGGATTATCGAGAAGAACGTAAAAGCTATCTTCAGGGAGTATTTCAGCTCGTTACGTGAAAATTCGGGTAAGATATTCAAGTTAATGACTTTTTAGACGCAGACCAAGGACCACATACTGTATATGGACGCAGTGTATATTAGAGTCTTTATTAACAAAATCTCTTGAATTATTAAATAGATGGAAAAGCACCAAAGATTCTTTGCAACCGACAAAATACTACGATAACTCCTTCATCGAAGACAGTGCAGTGTCGTTGTCAACCTGGATTTGAGATTTTTCGAGGCAAGGATGGACAAATTCAGTGCAAACAGTGTTCAAAGGGGAGGTTTTCTACTGGTGTGAAATGTGCTACATGCAAAGTTGGTCATGTAGCCTTTCCAGGCAAGCACTATTTTTTGTGGAGGAATGACACATTACCAGAAGGCTTCTCTGCTTCTTGTTCCGGTGACTGTACTATTGAGGTTTGTCAAATATTGAGAAGTTCTTTAAAAACTATGTCGATTGTTTTCAAGATGGCGAGAAACACAGCTAGGTGCTCTCCGAACCCTTTAAGTCTCAATTGTGACGAACATCAATTTTCTCCCAACAATATCCATTTTTTTTGCCAAGAGAAATAGTTATGAGAGTTAATAAAATGATCACTAAAGAGCAAATGCTTTGATCTGTTATCAAACTCTCTTTTTTAATTCTTGAAGGAAATGTATGGAGATCAGTATGGAGAATTTATATTTGGATATTGGGGCTTAAAAGGGTTAATGGACTATAAGTAGTTCCTTAGGGATAGTAGAGCGAGCAGATGCACGAACGCGCGTGAAAATCGCCACCCTCGAAGAAGGTCCTCCCTCCACGTGTCATCCTCGCGGCTGGTCATTTCTCACGCATTCTCCTATTTTGCTCGAACTACTATTCCTCAGAAGAATGAGGAAGAACTTGACTGTTATAGGTAACTGTTATGTCTCCTGAGCGTTCTTACTAGGGACCTTACAAAGCTACGACGGCGACGGCATCGGAACCTCAGAAAAGCAAAGCAACAACTTTGCGCGTGCATCACCCTTTTTTTGTCAATTTCTTTGCCTGCACAACTAAAAATGGTCAAATTTTAAGTTTACTTGAGAAGGGGAACGGCAAGGCGATAAATTCTACCATCTCTGTCTGAACTCGTGCGCGGTCCCATGCCTTCACTTCCAACCTAAATTCCCTTCTTTTAAGTAATAGGGCGACTTGGGATAATCGCGAAATAGTTTCAACGGATGTAAAGTCTATTTTTACGCGGCGTTTCGTGGACGTCGCCGTTGTCGGGTCGTAAGGTCACTACTGAAAGTTCTAAATAACAAGTTTTGAAAAACTGTTAAGTAGACTTGTTTTTAAAAGACCCAAGTGCACTTGATCTGGTGACAGGCTCATAATGGCTAAATTTGGCTGAATTCCGGGACTCAGCCTCTTTAGGTAATAGGAGACAGAACAGTCTGTCCGGTTTACAGTCAAGTCGCCCAAAATTATATCATGCCCAGCAACATCCTAACATCTTAATCGCCCTTGTTTCGTTTCATCAAATCTTCAAGATCAAGGTGTATTACTCATTTGCTTGTTTCATTTCATCAAGGCTAAAAGAATGAGATATGATACATTCATCCCGCTTATTTCGTCTAACCATAGCAACATTGCTTGAAGAACGAGATTTGATTACACAATTGGCCTGCTTGTTTTGTCTCATGAGATATATTACGTACACTCCTTACAAAAATTTCGGGCGACTTTACTAAAAATTTCTAGCAATTTAACTTCGGACGATTTGACCGGTTACCGTCTGGGTTCGCCATGTAAGGTTATCCATGGCAGTCTTGGATGCTGGATTCCAGATTCCTTGTCAGTGGAAAATTGGATTCTGGATTCCATGTTAATGGAACCTGGATTCAGAATTCCAATCATTAGCCTGATTCTGGATTCCTTGAGCTGGATTCCGGATTCCAAAGCCCAGGATTCCAGATTTCACAATCAAATACTTTCCAGATAAATTCCGGAATCTGGATTACCTTACGTAGCTGTTCCTGAAAAAACAGAATGAATAATCTGAAATACATTTGTTCTAGACTGGTTGGATTCCAGCTGGGGATCACATTCGCACAGAACGTGTTGTGGGTAATGTGCACTCTGAATTGAGGTCTCCTGAAGTAGAGGTGGATTCAGATTTAGCAAAGGTCGTCTTCAGCTGCTCAGTCCTGTGCAATTGGACCGGAGTGCCATCTAAACCCGTGAAAGGCGAGACTTTGGCTAAAATAGAGAACTGCAATCTCATATTTCAAGTGTGGAAGAATGGTTCTCTGAAGGATCAAGTAAACTGTACTCGTCCTAAAGGG